ACTGGCCCCCCCCCGGCGCCTTCGCGGACCCGGGATCTGCCTCCGGGCGCAGCCGTCAACATCCCAGGGCGGCGCGAGGCAGAGAGCGCGAGCGCGGCCGGGGCGGCAGCAGCGCGCGCGAGCTGGAGGGCAAGGAGCGGAAAGGCGGGGCCACGGCCAGAGAGAGGGGGCGGGCAGAAGGGGGGGGGAGGAGGAGTCGGCGAGGAGGAGCGCGACAGAGGCTGCGCACGAATGGATGGGGAAGGGAGACCGCGAAGCGCGGGAGTGCCGCGCGCGAGGCGAGAGAAAACCGTACCGGGGGGGAGGGGGAGGGAGAGGAAGAGAATGACGTGGGAAAGGATGAGACGCAGCTGAGGCACTAGAGGATCCAGGCCTGAAGCCGCGGGCGAATCAGAAGAGGCGCGAGGATAAATGAATGAACGTCTCTCTGTCCCCGCCCACCTCAAGATAGAGGGCGGAGCTAGCAGAGGGGCGGGGGTATAGAGGGAGGGAAAGACTGGAGGAGGAGGAGCCAATCTCTGCTTTGCCCTCTCAATCAGGCACAACCTGTCACAGAGCGACAGGTACTTCCACAGGGCGGGGTCAGACTCGTTGTCTAAGCCAATCAGAGTAGGCGTGGCGGGGAGGAGGGAAAGCAGCGGCTTTAACCAACAGCTACCCATGAAAAAGGGGCAGTGCGAAGTGGAAGCATGTGATTGGCGGTTGTTTCCACCAATTAAATTAAGTGGAGAGGGGTGGCGGCGACGTCATTTATCGGTCGCGTGACAGTAATGAGGCAGTTAGGGGCTAGGAGAGGCTGGTTACTGGTAATTTTGTGCTGGGAGCTACCGGCTTTTTGTTGGCAGTTCGCGTTGCGGCTGGGGGCGCGGCTTGTTCCGAGGATCGGCGGAGCGTGGCATGCTGGGAGTTGTAGTCTCGGTCTGGCGGAGCGTTGAGCCGCTTGTCTGGGTTCGCGCGGCCCGGCTATAGGCTGCGAGTGCTGAGGAGGCGCGCGTCGTAGGGCGAAGCTGATGCAACCTGGTGCTTGCCCGAGGGGGCCTCAGCACGGCAGGAGCAGCCAGGAGTTGTTTCCCCTTATGTGTGAGGCCAGGGCCTGGCCCTCAGAGCAGCGTGTCCCCTGGGGCTAGGATGCTGCTAGCCCGCCTGCCTCAGTGGCTGCAGAGAGGGGGCGCTTGGGGCTTAGGCTTATGCCTCTCTCCACCCCAGTTGGCAGCTGGCTGGGGTGTGCTGCCAGTCACTGACCCAAGCTGCAAATCCTGTGTATAATGGAAACGTCTTCAAGCCAAGGCGTGTGGCAACTTGGTTCCTAGCGACTGCGCAAATGGCAGCTGGGATACATATTATGCCCTGATTTCCTCTGGCAGGAGGGTTGCAGAGGGAGGTAACTCCAGGCCTGGTTTAGTCCCAGCCTCACCTGCTTGGAGATTTGTTCTACTGTGTGTAGGCTTTTAAACTGTGCTGTGCTCTGCCAGCTCCTGGCTGGGTGCCTTCCAGCAGTGTATTCAGTAACCTGATCAGTCTGTCACGTGTTCTTTATCCTTCCCTGAGGGGAGGAGGAAATGCATTGGCAGTTCCTGCTGTGGTAGGTTTGGGGCTGGTTGCAGAGGGTGGGGGAATCTGCTCAAACATTAGTAATAGAAATATAGCTGTGTTAGTCTGGTGTAGCTGAAGTAAAATGCAGGACTATGTAGCACCTTAAAGACTAACAAGATGGTTTATTAGATGATGCGCTTTCGTGGGCCAGACCCACTTCCTCAGATCAAATCATTTGATCTGAGGAAGTGGGTCTGGCCCACGAAAGCGCATCATCTAATAAACCATCTTGTTAGTCTTTAAGGTGCTACATAGTCCTGCATTTTGCTCAAACATTGTAATGAGTGGCTAGCTATCGTGACTTACTAAATATTGTAAGACTAGCATCTTTCTTGAAGCCGTATAACTGTTCATAAGTTGAGCTTTCTTTCTTTCTTCCTTTTTTTTAAGTGTGTAGAGGAGACAAGTTAGGAGGTGAATTTTAAAGAAAATGTTTATTATTAAATTTTCACTGACTTTGGGGGCCTGACTCATGACTTTTTGCACATGTGAGATTACCAAGTATGTAGTTTGCAGCAGTATTGGCACTCCTGTTGGGAGCTTAATCAAGGAAATGAAAACAGAGGGAGATCCTCCATTCTTTGTGATGTGTAGTTTGAAAGTAGAAACCTGGGAAAACATGTGGTGCTTTTGCACAGCTGACTACTTGTGCCGCTAACTCACTGTGTGGTCTTGCTTAGGTATAATTTTCCAAAATGGTCACTCAGGGTTTTGGTGCCTCAATTTTGAGCATTCAGCTTGAGGCACAAAAGGTCTGATTTTTCAGAAGTAATGAGTAAGTACTTGCAGCTTCCATTTCAGTTACTATTTATGTTCGGCACTTCTGAAAATAAGGCTCTAGCTGTTTCAAGTTGCATGCTCAAAATTAGTTCTTTCCTTCTATGTCTCATTTCCCTAGATGTTAAGAGAAGAATGATTTCCTTTGTCTATAATTTGAGCTCTTTAGCTGAAAAAATGCTATATAAGTGAAAGGCAATATTGTTGTCCAGGAAGAACTTTTGATTACCTTTTCCTCAATATTTGAGTTATTTTATTGTGGCGCTTGGTAGCAGTAAATAAGCTGACCATAATACAGTAAGTAGCACCCAAATCTTGTTCTCATCAGAACATGAGAATTTATTACATTTGTTTAACAAAACAAAAATTACTACTGTAAAAGTACCACAAATATAGAAGTTATTAATATACATTTTATAAGACACGTCCTCCCCTCCCTTTTTGCAGGATTGTATGTACAGACACAAGACCCCACTCATACAGATCTCGCTGCAGTTCAGCCATAGTTATTTTACTGTTTTGTGTATGATGCTTATGTAGCACAAATAAGTAGCTAATCTGTTTAACTTCTTCATCTCCATGTCTTGTCTTTTGATGGTTTTCAGTGCCAGGTGCCCGTGAGGGAATGAACAGATCAAGAAATCATCAAGAGATCCAACCCCTGTTGTCTATGCCTAGCTTCTGACAAACAGCGGCTACAGATACTGTGCCTGCCCATCCTGGCTAATAGCGCAGCTTGCTTCAGAAGAGTTCGTTTTGTTTTTTTTTCCCCAAAACTACTTTAAAATTAGCCCTGTGCAGATCCTGTGCTTGTGGGGAGCCTGCCTAAGCCAGTTCCTCACTGGCACGGCTCTCACTCCATCTTGCTGCCCGGGCTTATTGATTAATTGTATAGTTGACTACATGTTGACATCCCTAGCTCTCTCCCAGATTTTTTTTTTTTTAACAAGCTGACCAATTGGCAGTTCAAGTGAGGGTTTGGTTTAAAGGAATCATGGTGGTGTGTACAGGAGGTCTTTCTTGGCTCAGCTACTCCTGCCTCTCCCACCTCTGGAGATTCCTGGAAAGGATTCCATACACAGAAATCAGTCTGGAAACATATATAGAGTATGAGAAACTTGGTTTACAGAGGTTTTTGTGTTTTCATTATTTTGATTAAGCATTTTTTAAATTAGAACAGTTAAATTAATACAAATCATAATGTGGACACAACTTTACTAGAATAACTTATCCCTCTAAACTGATCGGAATAGCGTGTTCATAGATTTGTATTAACTGCAGTCTTGTTAGCTATATCAGTATAGTTAGGGCTGTATAATTCTTGTATGAAGATAAGTCTAAAGAACATGATTCCTTTGAATGAGAATGATGACACAAAGTAGATCAGTGGTGGGTAACCTGTGGCCAACTGGGTTTCTACTTGTGCCTGCGTGTTCCTTCTCCTATACCTATTGCACACTGGGATGCTGCAGTCCTGCACTTCCTCCTCCTCACTCCCAGCACTTTGAGAGCACCAGGAATCTGCTGACTTGTGCTCTGTTTCTCTTCCCCCCCCCTCCCCCCCACTAGAACACCACAATCAGCTGTTCTTGGCTGCTCAAGCTCTGGGAGGGAGAGGGAGGAGCTGTCCACCCTGCACCTCCCCCACCCCCCAGCTGCCATTGCTGCCAGAGAGTGGAGGGAGGGGGCCCACACTGAGCTGAAGACTCCTGCTGCAGGCACTGGCCCTTCTGCCAGATGATGGCTGGCCCCTTCTGCCTTTGGGGTGGTGGGAGCACATGAAGGTGCACGTGCCTGCATCCCCCACACACATCGCCTGTTCTTGAGGATATCTAGTCCAGTTTCCTGCACTAAGGACTAAATATTATCTAGGCTATCCGTGACAGGTGTTTGTCTAACCTATTTATTCCAGTGCTGGCCAGGCCAGGCCTGTAGATGGGGGAGGAGTATGAGCAATTGTCCAGGGACCAGAGGCAGCACAATGGGGATTCTGGCTTTCTGCCTTCCTTGGCAATTGCTCCACATGGCTCCTGGAAGCAACAGGTACATCTCTTCAGCCCATGGAAGGAGTGGAGGGGCAGTGTTCCCTATAAACTGTGTTCCCTATAAGCTATAACCGCCTCCTGCACCTCAGCCTCTTGCCATAGCCTGGAGTTCACACCCAAACTCTCTCCCAGAGCTTGCACCCCTCCTACATCCAGCCCCCCTACCCCAGCCTGATGAAAAAGGGAGAGGGAGAGGTAAGTCATGCAGGGAAGGGGGATGGAGTGCATGGGAGTGGGGAGCTCTCAGAGAAGGGGCATACCCTCAGGCGTGGGGAAAGGGTTTGTAAGTTTGGACAGTTGGCAACCCCTGACTGTGCTGGAAGAATGTGCCCAGCAACACAGCCAGCAGCATGCTGGGCATCAGCCAACACAGACCCACCCAAATGTCAACTGGACTGCTTCCACATGAGTGCAACTTCTGTGAGTGTGTGAGCTCATTGACTGTTTTGCCCTGGTGCCCAGTATTCCTAATAGTGTGTCTGACACTGACAAAGTTTTTTCCTAACATCTTACCTAAGCCTCTCTTGCTGCAATTTTAACCCACCATTTCTTGTCCTATCTTCAGAGGTTAAGAAGAGCAGCAGTTTTTCTCCCTCCTCCTTGTAACAACAGTTTCCAGATGTAAAAGTTTATCATGTACCCTACTGGTATTCTCTTTTCCAGACTAAACAAACCCAATGTTTTCAATCTTCCCTCATAGGTCATGTTTTATAGACCTTTAATCATTTTTGTTGATGTTCTCTGGACCTTTTCCAATTTGTCCATATCTTTCCTGAAATGTAGCACCCAAAACTGGACACAATACAGCAGTGAAGCCTAATCAACACAGAGTAGAGTAGAAGAATTACTTCTAGTGTATTACAACACTCCTGCTAATACATCCCTGAATGTGTTTGGGTTTTTTGCAGCAGTGTTACACTATATAGCTTGTGGTCCACTCTGCATTAGGATCTATGCCATGAGTGCTCGTAGTGCCTATTGGCCGCAGTGGACTAATCCCAGTCAGTGAGACTTGCGAAAAGTGGTGTAGACTGGGACACTGTTTCCCATAGCTCCCAGTGGCTGGGAATGGCTATTCATGGCCAATTGGACCTACAAGTGGCCATACTTATGTATGTGTTGGTAAATAAAGTGCCAGTAGCCTGCCAGGGGCTAATCCTGGAGAACTGCATCCTGCCCGCGGGCCACTTATTGCCCACCCCGGTCTATGCTTGACATCCCTTTGTGCAGTACTCCTTCCTAGACAGTCATTTAGTATGTGTGCAATTGATTTGTTCCTTCCTAAGTGGAGTACATTGTATTTTTCCTTATTGGATTTCATCCTGTTTACTTCAGACCATTTCTCCAGTTTATTCAGATGATTTTGAATGATGATCCTGTCCTCCAAAGCACTTGCAGCCCCTCCCAGCTTGGTGTTGTCTGCAAACTTTGTAAGTGTACTCTCTATGCCATTATCTAAATAATGGATGAAGAACAGAATTGGATCCAGAATTGATCCTTGCAGGGCCCTACTTATTTTGTCCTTCCAGTGTGACTGTAAATCATTAATAACTACTGCCTGGGAATGGTTTTCCAACCAGTTATGCACCCATCTTATAGTAGCTCCATCTAGGTTGTATTTCCCTGGTTTGTTTTTTGAAGGTCATGCGAGACAGTATAAAAAATATTAACTCCTTACTAAAATCAAGATATAGCTACTGCATCTACTCCAATACGCAACGCTTGTTACCCTATCAAAGAACACAATTTGTTCTTGACAAATCCATGCTGGCTGTTACTCTGTCCTCTAGATAAGTGGTTTCCAACCTGTGGTCCACGATGGTACTGCAGGGCGTCCATGGAAAGTTTAAAAATAAGGATTGGGCTCACTGTCATGGGCCCGATCCTTTTCTTTTCCTTTTCCTTTTCCTTTTCTCCCCCACCCCCTTAGGGAGCGGGAGGGTCCATCAAATTTTAATATATTGAAAAGTGGTCCATATGCTTGAAAAGGCTGGGAACTACTGTTCTAGATGTTTGCAAATTGATTGCTTAATTACTGCTCCATTATCTTTCTGGTACAGAAGTTATTCCTGGTTATTTTTATTTCCATTTTTTTGATGGGCACTAGATTCAATTCTTCTGGAATCTCTCCCAGAACATGTTGCAATTGGTATCATGGCAGAGTTGTTAAAGTTGGAGAATTTCGTAGGTTGTGTTTCGGTAAATAGTCAGGAAAATGTAAAATCAACTCATTCTTCAGCTGATCAACAGTGCATCTTTGATATTGATGTTATGGATGACATAATGGCAAACAAAATTCATCTTGGAGAAAGCAGACGAGCAGGTTTCTTTTTGCATTTAAATTGATCACAAAAGGAAAAAATTAAATTGGGCTGTTTAGAGTAGAAGGTGCTGTAGTCTAGTCTGCTATATAGTCAAGGAGAAGTATTGGCTTGACCTGGACTAGCTGGATACTTTTATACAAATGCCCAAATTCCTATTGTCCTGTAAGAAAAACCTTTAGTACTCTTAACTTTATAATCTTATACTTTGACATATTTTTCAGGTGACTAGAGCAACTGATGTAACAGTACATTGTATGAAGAAAACAATGATAGCGTACTGAATACTATGGTGCTTATAAATGAACTTAGGAAAAATGGGATTTCTGCCAAGGTGAAGAGCTCAGTTAAGTAACTACATAAGATTATATATATATTTTTAAATGCATAGCACTATCTAAATCACAACAAAAGTACAAAACTTGAATTTCCCAGGGAAAATAGTAAGTACTTTACTTTAATCATAATTTGGTTGTCCTTGTCCCTAAAGGCTTTGGAAATGGGTTATTGCAAAATGTTCAGATTGTTTAATGTTGTTAGGACAGGATTCTTCAAGGTGACCAGCTTGTACAAATATGTAAATTCCATTTACTTTACCATTCATCTCCTTGATAGGGATATTTAGTAGATATTGCGAATGTGTAGCATGTAAATACATTCTTGTCAGTTGTATTTATTAAGTCTTTTTAAGTCATGGTTCCCTCCTAGATTCCCATTCATGCACCATGCTATGACATCAAAGCTGCCGACGAATTCTGGAGGATTAAGACAGCCTATAGGGAAATGGAGTACAATTTTTTTTTTTTTTTAATACAGGGTTCTGAAAATGCTCAGTTGCAATTAATATTTGTTTTGCCACAAATGTCAATGGGAGCAGGACCAGGCCTTTGGTGCAGGAGTTATACCATGCTCCAGTGTTTCTGTGATAGCTGTGATAATATAGCAAAGTGTATGCTGGGGTTTCAGAGGAACAGTGCCTGGCATCTTTTGGGTTCTTGAAAAAGGGGGTGGGGAGGCAATTGAAGGCATGATCCAAAGCGTGGTGAAGTCGGTGGGAGTCTTTCCATTGACTTTAATGGGCTTTGGATCAAGCCTTCAGTTGGTTAGGGGGTAGAAGCACATTCAGTCTCTACATGTAAGTGATAAGTCTATTCCTCACAATTGTTGATGTTAATGAATTTATTTTTGTTTCAGGTCATCTTTAAAATATGGACATATTTGATCAAAGTCCAACAATTCTGAATTATTTTGGCTGATAAATTTTGGCAAGTTGTTTAGCTGAAGAAAATACTACCATAGTAATATTGTTGTTGTCTTTAGTGCATTAACAAAGTCATGTGGAAAAATTCTGAAGTTAACGTAGTGTAATATCAGCAAAGAATTCCACATGCTTGAAACATTACCTTTCCAAACTCTATGCAGCTTTGTCCTTATGCATGGTGTAGCCTAAATATACCTAGCCTATTGTGTTCAGAATATTTGTTACCAATAACTCAGACTATATAGTGTCATCTTTATTTGTATTTTCGAAGTTCCTTTCTAATATATTACCAAGCAACTGCTACACGGAATGAATCAACTAACTGCATCAGAATTGCAAAAGAATTTGTGATGTTTGTTGTGGAGTATACCTAGAAAGAACCACAATGTAATACAAAGCCAGAGTTTCTGGGTACTTGGAGGATGGTGTAATTTCATCCTGTTGCCATAAATAGATTTCAAGTGTCATTCTTGAATTCAGCAATGACATTAAATTGTTGATGTGAATTTTGTAGACACTGCAACAGCATCAACTGATTTTAAGGACTCTTAGCACAAAGACTGAGTTACATCATGAAAGTTACTAAGAACTGTGTACTGGCTCAATCTGCTCATGGAGTGATGGTGGCATGTGGCTCTAAAATATTCTGTAATGCCTGATGATTCCTCAATTTATAGGCGTTATCTTATATAAAGGACTAAAAAATTACATCTATTCTACATAAACCTGCTGGTATCTCAACTTTTATTGTTGTAAATTATTTATCTCCGAGAAATTGAATCTTTCTTATAAAATGTCTTGCTGTGCGAAAGTTAATCCATAATTTTAAAGCTTGCTGCTATATCTGTCACTTTCTTTCTTGAGGATTTCTGTACTTGAACCTTCAGAGACTGAGATACATACCCACAATAAATAAAAACAATGAGATATCTGTCGCACTTTAAAGAATAACAAATGTATTAGGGCATAGGCATGTATTAGTGCTGAAGGCCACAGAAGCTTATGCCTTAATACATTTGTTATTCTTTAAAGCTATGTCTACACTACAGTGCTATTTTGGGATTCCAGAGGTAGCCCAAAATAGCTATTCCGCGTCTCTTAAGTATGCACGTTATTTTGAAATATAACGGGGTCGCTATTCCAATGTCTGTGTAACTTATTGTGGAATGAGGTTAAGGGACATTTTGGAATAGCGAATTTATTTCAAAATAAGTACTGTATAGACCATACTGAATTTCGAATAACCGACGCAATTTGCATAGCTTATTTCGAGCTACAGGTGCACTGTAGACACACCCTAAGGTGCCATAGGACTCTTTGCTGTTTTTGCTGAAACAGACTAATCCAGCTAATTCTCTGATGCCAATAAATGTTAACTACTGTAAATTAGCGTATATAACCCACGTCCATGTATAATACACACTCATATATTACCTGCAGTTTTTCTTTCATATGTTTAAAAAAAAAATCCTAGATTACCTGCAGATGTACATAACCCACAGGTAATGAACCTCAACTGAGGCCGCTGAGCAATAAGTATTACCCTATTACCAGTATATAAGCCCTACGAACCACACTGTTTTAAAACCTCTTCATTTTATAACAAAGTATTTTTAAGGATGCCTAAGCGCAAATCATATACATCCGATTTTAAATTATTTGTTCCGACATATGCAAAAGAAAATGGCAGTAGCGCAGCAGGGAGAAAATTTTCCATCAACGAAAAGTCTGTTCGGGAGTGGAGAAAAGAAGAAGCAGAGATTGAGAAATTAAATCCTCAGAAAAGAGCACACTGAGGAAAGAAAACCAAGTGGCCGAAACTAGAAGAAAACCTGGTGAAGTGGGTTCTTGCACGGAGAGAGAGCCAACGTGTGGTATCATGTTGGTCTTGTCGTCTTTAAATTTGAGTAAAAATCAGCTTGTATAAGACGCAGACATGTATACCCTGCGGGGGGTGGGGAGGGCGGGTTGTAAAAACATGTATAACCCACAGGTTATATTCACTAATTCACAGTACTTTTTAAACAGTTTTTGAAGCTTCATCTAATACCTCAGTTCAGTTCACCAAATTGCCTCGTTCCCAAAAGAAAACTGCCACAATTTGAGGAGACAGAAAAGGTTATGCTTTTTCTGGTGTGGCTTATGATTATAACTGGGTTCTCAGAACTACCCAGGAAGTGTCCTATATTGTGTAGGTTAAAGCAGATTCATGCGATTGGATCCAATGTCATAAGAGGCTTTTGTAACTTTTCACAGAAAAGGCTTGTACTTGACGGGTTTCTAACTGTGTTGAGAACAATATCTAGAAAAGGTAATGAGAGTCACAGGGAACAAAATGTAATCACAAGTACTAATTGTAACTTGATTGAAACAAAATTCCAATTCCGTATTTAATTGTCATTATAAAAGAGACTTACATCAAGTGACTTATTTCCACTTTAATTTCCAAGTCAACTACTAGTCTGTTGAGATGCCTGGACTTGAGCATTTGCATTATATCTTTTTGCTGACTAGCAAGAGCGTGTTACTTTACCTGATCTTTTGGCTTTAAGCACACTATTCGGCTACGTCTACACTGGCCCCTCTTCCGGAAGGGGCATGTAAATTTCAAGAGTCGTCGTAGGGAAATCCGCGGGGGATTTAAATATCCCCCGCGGCATTTAAATAAAAATGTCCGCCGCTTTTTTCCGGCTTTTAAAAAAGCCGGAAAAGAGCGTCTAGACTGGCCCCGATCCTCCGGAAAAAGTGCCCTTTTCCGGAGGTTCTTATTCTTACTTTGAAGTAAGAATAAGAGCCTCCGGAAAAGGGAACTTTTTCCGGAGGATCGGGGCCAGTGTAGACGCTCTTTTCCGGCTTTTTTAAAAGCCGGAAAAAAGCGGCGGACATTTTTATTTAAATGCCGCGGGGGATATTTAAATCCCCCGCGGATTTCCCTACGACGACTCTTGAAATTTACATGCCCCTTCCGGAAGAGGGGCCAGTGTAGACGTAGCCTTCTTGTTTATATAACATTTAGAGTGTGCTTAGTGTTCTACAGGCTGATCAGGCTCTGTTCCTGCCCCTAAAAGCTTATAGTCTATAAACTTACACTTGCACTACTGTCCCTTCCTAGAGTAGGCAGTTGACTAATATCAAGAATAAATTCAGGAATCGGTAGGCTAATTGATCGCTTTCCTTTTGAGAATATTCTCCACAGTCTTGATGTATGAGGTTCCAAACAATTAGTCAGTGGTACTAATAAAAGCATTAGCAACTTTGCCATTACTCTTAATTTGCTAGTCTGTGTCCTTTGCATCTCCTTGCTATGACTTAGCTTAAAAGGTAAGACATACTCTGTGGATTTTATGGCAGACAGCAAATATGGCTTGTGTGAAAATCTTAAGACATTTTTAAATCTGGGCTATTATTACTGATATTTGAATTATGCATGCCATTGTTTTCCTGTTTTTGAAATGTGTACCTGAGTCTAAGGACTAATTAACATCATTTGACTATACCTTTTTGCTCTCCATTAATTCAGACTGTGTCAGGGCATGTTGAGAATTTGTGTTCAAACACTGTTGTAACCATATTCAGAGCTTTTGGTCAAGCTGAGGAGAAAGCAGCATCATTCCAGTTGTCTAACTCTTGTAGTGTGGAGTGAAGTCCTGCTATCGCAAATTCTCCCATAGATGCATTCACTAATGGTCCTCGCATCCAGATATCATGAAAGCTGTGAATACTGAATATGCGAGCTGTGAGGTCTTTTACTGAATTCTTTATTTTAGCGGAGAGAGTTACACTATGGTAGATCAGCAGAATCCCATAGAGTATTATTAGCACTTGCTGCCAGCATAATACAACTACCTCCTGGAATATGATAAAGACTGCTAAAAATTCTGACAATGTCAAACCCTGAGTGATTTGAGAAATGCAGTGCAGAATCATATTAACTTATGATTTCAGGGAATTTTCTCTATCTCTGTCACACATTAGGAGAGCTTTAGGAAAATGCAGATCTTCAGATTACCAGGAGGTTTAAAATGTGATTTCCTTGGCGACCATATTCTCAAATTACCCTTTTATTTTTGTAGCCAACTTTGTGATACTTAATCTCTTGACAAAAAATCAGACCACCTCAACTTCCTAGGAGCAGATACCAAAAATCCCCAGAGTTGTATGTACTAAGCTTACTTCCTCCACAGAACAGGAGTCAATGAATTACATAACTTACTTGATTCTTATTGGCCTGGAAATTGAGTGCCTGTGGTTGTGGGATCTTAGTGTGGCAATCACACAAACTTATGCTATGACTCCAAGTTCACTTTGAAACCCACTCTCTTCTTATCCCTAACCACTACCTTGTATTACTGATTAGGAAATCACCCCACAGCATTTTAATAGGTTAACCAGAGATAGCAGGACTTTGGTGAGATGAACCCTATGTAAATTACACCACCTATTGCTTATATAAGAGACTAAATGTGTAGATGCTTTATGACAGTGGTCCCCAACCTTTAGAGACTTTGAAACCCACTCTCTTCTTATCCCTAACCACTACCTTGTATTACTGATTAGGAAATCACCCCACAGCATTTTAATAGGTTAACCAGAGATAGCAGGACTTTGGTGAGATGAACCCTATGTAAATTACACCACCTATTGCTTATATAAGAGACTAAATGTGTAGATGCTTTATGACAGTGGTCCCCAACCTTTAGAGGCTCCCGGATGCCCGGGGAGGTTGACCTTGCGCTGTGGGGCCGGCGCCGCGTGCCGCACGCCCGCATGTTCCCCGGGGCTGGGGCCCAGGTTGTCGGCGGGCGTGCACAAATGCCCCGGCGGGCGCCATGGTGCCCATGGGCACCACGTTGGGGACCACTGTTTTATGTTTTTACACTTGATAAATATTTAAATTGGCTGGAACTGCATTCTGGCCTTTGTGTGTTTATTCAAGAATAGAAGTGAGGTATTTGCCTACTTTGATCAGTTTAAGTATTCTCTATTCTCCCTGAAGATTTGAGAAATGTTCTTGAGTTAGAAATGAGACCCTAATAATGGTGATTGGGGTGCTGGATATTCAAAACTAGTGCACAGTTTATGTATCACAAAAATATGCACCCCATATGTACTTAACCATCTAATGAATGTTTGGGAAAAAAATCATTTCCTAGTTCTAACACTCCGTACACTTTTAACTGACAGAATTCTCTCTCTTTGTGACAAGGATTGTTCTGAACTGGTTCATTGTCCAAAGACATGCTGAATCCCTTGGTTCAGCTTGGGATCTTCTAGGTACCATGATGTCCATTGAACCGTCCCGGGTCCCAATTATGGGACTGTCCCTCTGGCAGGGGCAGCCCTAGACTAGCTGCCAGCAACTGGCGCCCTACGCAAACCATGCAATCGGTGCCCCCACCTCCAAACCCCTCAATGATATTGCCCCATTATTTGGTGCCCCATTTAACTTGGTGCCCTAGGCGACCGCCTACTTTGCCTAAATGGACGGGCTGCCCTTGCCCTCTGGTTACACTACTGTGCTGGTATTTTGGCTGGGTGAGATAAAATGTTGTGGCATTTATACCCATGTTATGAACTCATCTTTTCCCCTTTCATCTTGACGCTGGAGTGCACCTTACCTTTGGAGCAGAGAGCTTGTGTTGTTGACCGATTTGAAAGCCAGTGGAATTTATTGGGCTTCAAAGGACTCTGAAGAGGAATGCTTTCTTACTGACACGTCACTGGTTTAATTGGAGATTCTAATGAGCTTCTGTCCCTGACCATAAATACCAAAGGGCTCCTAAATGTCCTCTATTTCAGGTGCATCCCTGTGTAGTAGATTCTCATGGTATCTTGATAACCTGCAGCAAATGAAGCAGGAAGGAATAAAACTATAATGAAAATCTTGCTTAGGATAGAATCTTTGAAAATCTTATGCTGTGCCTGTGGAGGAGTTGAAGACAATTTTGATTTTTACCATAAAATATATAAATTACTATTGATAGTGCTTAACCATCTGATCAGTCTAGGCTATTTGCATCCAGTAACAGAGTTAAGCATTTCTTGCTATGAGGCATTTTTAAATTCTTTTGTGCATAAGATTGCTTGGATTCAAGATGAGCTGTCACCTGAAGATAGAACAGATAAAAAAATCCACCTATAATCTGCAAGGTATCTTAATGTAACATTAAAAAGGCTCAAAGGGATGAAGAATTGTCACCACAGACACCTAACATTAAGAACAATGGTTGCTGCCAGCAGGGGCGGTCCATGAGTCTAGGCGAGCTAGGCAGCTGCCTAGGGCGCCGCTGGCCCGGGTGCCCAATGATGATGTCACGGCCATTGACAGCTGTGCAGGCAGGTGTGCCGATAGCGCTGCCCCACCTAGGGCACCAGCTGCTGCAGCCAGCCTCGGGCCGCTCCTGGCTGCCAGCTGTCATTACTCTTTACTAACTGGTAGATTCTCCAAGCCTCCATGGGTTTCTCCCCCTTTGATTGGTCAACAGCCCCAGGACATTCTAGGTTTCTTATAGGAGTTCTGGAGAAGCTAGGGACCTCAAAGAGAAAACTTAGTCTAATATGGCCTTCAGCTGTGCAAGCAGTTTAAAAAGTTCAGAGCTATCACTCTCAAGAACCTACAAGAAGCCCAACAATGTCAGTGATGTATAACTGTCCAGCCCAGTTATGAGAATTCAGTCTGGGGGACCAAGTTCTGCTGTTTCTGAGCATATAGTTCATGGGCAGTAGTAGTCAAAGGCCAGGGCAGGCTAAGCCTCTCTGGACCCAGGCTGTGATCATACCTATGTTCCGCCAGAAGGCCCCATCCTCCCTCTGCTCTACCCAGAAATCCTCGTGGGTTCGGCATAATAGAAAAGAGGGCTCTAAAAGGGAAGAAAGACTAGGAGGCTGTGTCTACACTGGCATGAATTTCTGGAACTGCTTAAAATGGAATACTATTCTGTTTTCAGTTTTTCCGGAAAAGGAGCGTCTACATTGGCAGGCTGCTTTTCTGGAAAAGCCCTTTTTCCGGAAAAGCGTCTGTGGCCAATGTAGACGCGCTTTTCCGGAAAAGAGCCCCGATCGCCATTTTCGCAATTGTGGCTTTTTTCCGGAAAAGACTACTGGGCTGTCTACACTGGACCTTTTCCAGAACAGTGTTCTGGAATAAGGACTTATGCCCGAGTGGGAGCAGAATAGTTTTTCTGGAATAGCGGCTGATTTTGTACAGTAGAGCGTCGTTGCTTTTCCGGAAATGCAAGGGCCAGTGTAGACAGCTCGCAGCTTATTCCGGAAAAGCGGCTGATTTTCTGGAATAAGTGGCCCAGTGTAGACACAGCCGGAATGTCCTAGTCACCAGACTGTAAAGAGTGTCTCCTGGAGCTCTAGAGTTGTGGTTTCCGACCTGTGGTCATAGATCCCTGATGGTCCGTGACAGTATTGCAGAGGGTCCGCAGATAGTTTAAAGGTAAGGACAGGCCCAATCCTTACTTTTAATTTTCTTTTTCTCCCCTAGGGCTCCGTGCCTGGCCCAGGGTGGAGTGCCGGGGCAAGAGCTGCCTTCAAGGGTGGCATTTTGGGAC